AAGATCATAATACTCAGAGGGCCCTTAAGTGGAGGAGCTAGGAGAAGACCCAAGCCTCAGTGAAGCCTAAGGCAGGGCCTGCTCCCAATGCCTCTCCTACCCCATCTTCTATTTGTCCACAAGATGAACCTCCATGAAGAATTTAATCACCCTACTGAGTAAAAAGGGATTATTGTCCTAGGAAATGTTTTGAATAGCTGGGTGTTGCAGAAAGCCATGTGGGTTTCTGGGCCAGCTGACCTCCCTGTGGAACAGAGACATGCTGACAGAGGTGACCTCAGGAACCAAGGACCTTTACCCAGCCAGCCTAGGTGGGATGAAGTGGGCTGTGGAGGACATTACCCAACATGTAGCTCCATGGCTGCCCTCCCTACCCAGGGTACCTGTGGATCTTTGGTCACACCAACACCATGAAGCTCTCCTCTGCCACAATGGCCACATGGTTATTTGCACCACATCCAGGAGTTGAGGAGGGGAACAGCCTCAAAGCCATCCAGGCCTGGCTGGGAGTGGGGGATAGCTTGGGTGACAGCCCAAAGATGATGGCTCTGAGCTCCTGGTCTGGTTTCTCACCCTACCCTGGGGCCCCCAAGTACCTACCTGTCATTCAAAAGGTGAGGCTGCAGGGGTTCCCACTTCATGGGCAGAAGGTGGGCTCACCTGAAGGCTCCCCTGTCTGAGAAGCACCTCAGCTATACCTGAAATGGCAAGGCTCTCAGCTCCTCTCCCTAGGGTCCCTAGCAGAGAGCCCTCTTTGCCTCCTCTCTGCCCTCCCATAGCTCCCTTTGCCCCTTCTACCACATTGGACAAGAATTCAGGTTGTCCAAAGCCCCACAGCACACACACAAACGCAGCTTCACACAAGAGCAAAGACCGACAGACATACAATACCATACTCACATATATTCCCTCACATACTCACATAGCTCCCTTTCAATCACACACACACACCTATTTCACACAAAAACATACTCACACTAATGCACAATCATGCAAACACACAAATGGTTGCACACTCTCTCACACATACACATAGAACATTCCCACCCACAGTTATTCAAATGTTTATACACTTATACAGAATCTCAGGTCTGAAAACACACTCCCACAAGTATACACATTTATACACATCAACTTTCACTCGTCTTCACCTATGCATTCACATTCATTCTTTCTCTCTCTCACTCTCTCTCTCTCTCTCTCTCTCTCTCTCTCTCACCTGTTATTGTTTGACCATTCACCAAAAGACCTCAGTGACTTTGCTGGGATAAAAGAGTGGTCATGAGGGCAAGGGCCACTAGCTCCTAGGTCCAATTCTGTAATGGCCCCTCCTCATGCCCTACCATGGGTGCCTCCCCAGAAGTCCCTCCCACAAAAGCACACAGTCTTTTGCTACCCCACTCAATAAACCATGGTCATTTCTGACCCTCCCTAGTCACACCATTTCCCTTGCCTAAACACCCTCCCCATAGTGTCCCATCTATCCCACCCTGTGGAACCTCTAAGACCTCAACAAGTCCCTGACCTCAATGAAGCACTGCCACCAGCACTGAGACACATGGGATGGAATAGTGGGCACCCATGTAGGTATACCCTGAGCCTAGGGGTCCCTACCTGTTTCCTGGGTATGAATCTTGCCTCACCCATGAGATAGCAAAAGCCTTAAGGCCCAAGAAAAGAACTGTGACCACCCCCCTTCTTTTGTAGTCCCAGAACATATACTGTAGAGCTGGACTCTCATCTCAGCTCTGCCCAGGGGTGCTGCACCAGACTCATTTAGGCCTTCCCAGTTGAAAGGCATCCACTTTTGGGTCAGACATACTCAGGTGCAAAACCAAGCTCCATTTCTAATTGCATGACTTGGACAACCTCCTTAACATCTCTTGGCCTTAGCTTCCTCATCTGAAAAAATGAAAACAATAAACCCTCCTTTGTAGGTAGAAAATGAAGGTGGATATAGCGTACCCTGCACAATGCCTGGCACACAGTAGGTGTTTGACCCAATGTGGTACTCCTTTTCTCTTGCCCTTTTCATCTCCTTACACACAATCCAAGGGAATACCCGTCAGGATGCAGTAGGCTGGAACAGGTTCAAGGGAAGCTAGAGGCACCTGGCTCCAGATCACATACCCTCACACAAGGCTGTATCTAGGTCTGCTCCCCGCATGTGGAGCCCCAGAATTCCAAAACATCTTTGATTAATAAGAAGCGGAAAGATAAGCCTCATGATAATTAATAAATCATTAGCAGCATTACTTTGCATCAGATAAGCCCATTAATTGTTCCCATTTCCTTACAAAAACCCCAGGCCCAGGGGCCCCTCACAGCAAGTTGATTTTATGGGAATTCCAAGCCCATGAATAAAGCAGAGCCCTGGTAGGATGAACAGCATCTACCTGCAGGGGCGCTTGGGAGTATGTATGCCTGGCCCACACCTCTGTCCTTCAGGAGAGCAGGCCATGAGTCCGCTCGGGACCGGAACTCACAAAACAAGCCCCGGCAGGACTCCCTCTAGGGAACTCAGGGACTCGAAACACAGAGCTGCAAACGAGTTTCCTGGCAATTAATTGATGTTCCTGGCACCAACACCAATTGATTACCAGAGTTTGTTATAACCACCCTACAACAAAGCTACATTGATGTTTAGAGGAAAAAAAGGTCCCAATTGATTCATAATGGCTGTCAGGTGCATGAGACAGGACATGGCAGCATAAAGAACATTCCTATCTATTCATTCATTCATTTGTTCATTCATTCATTCACCTTGCAAATGATTAGCATCAAATGCCATGCAAAGGGCTGGGGAGACCATGTAAAGCAAAAAGAGATAGTTCCTGTTTTCATGGAGCTTATATTTCTCTCTCTGAAGTCCAGCTTCTTTTCAGGGGAGGAAATTACAACAGGGAGGAAACTTCCCAAGGCCATGCTGAGAGTCAGCGGCAAAACTGGGCATAGGTCCTTCCCTGCCCTCTTGCCAGCCCCTCCTTCCCTCAAAGGAGCAGCAAAGGGATCCCAGTTCCCCAGTCCTGCTCAACACACACACACACACACACACACACGCACACACACACACACATACGCACGCGCTCACACACAAACACACACACACACGTGTTCTGTCATCTTCTCATGTATCTTAACCCCAGACCCTGAAAATGGCAGCATATTCTCATTCATTTTAGAGAAATGCTTTCAAATACCTTTTGTGTACAGGAACACTGAATTGGGAAACACAAAATTGCCTCCAAGAAGCTGGTTGACTAATTAGATTAAAAAACTTCCTTAAAATATATTATTACTACTGACAATAACAATAATAATAAAACAAAACCCCCAGGAGGCATAACTTATTAAAGTGATCTGTGTGATTAAAAAACATCCATGCAAGCTGAGAAATCCCAAAAGACTTTCTGAAGGAAGTGGCAGGTTAGGAAGAAATTGGAAAAAATGTTTGGAGACAGACTATGGAGAGCTTTCAAGGCACTATTAGGAAGTTTAAATGTGTAATTTGGTTCCTCACTTATCACCCCAAAAGTGTACTCAGAGGGCACCACTGGATAAACCTGGTGTATCTTTTTATAACATCAATATTACTTATAGATTTGAAAGTGAAAGGTTATTCATTAAAGATTCTTAAAATTTTGTGATATCCACACAAAAATTAACTCCAGTTAAAGATCTAAACATGGAAATAAATAAAATTATGAAGATACTAGAATAAAATATAGGACATGAGAAAGACTTTATGAGAAAAACTAAGATGCCCTAGAGATAAAAATCAAGTAAAACAATGGACTCATGCTCCAGCCCTGCCCCAGTAGCACACAGCTCACATAGACCCAGGATTCACCCTCATCTCCATGGGGCTAAGATCCAGGCCCACTATCGTGGACCCAGGATACAGGCCAATGCCCATAGACTCATGCTCCAGGACCATTCCAGTCGAGGCCTGCACACAGACACAGGCCTACCCCAATGGGCCCTGATGCCATGCCAGCCCAGCTCCTACAGATGCAGGACCAGACCTATCCCTGTGTACTCAAGTAGCAGGTCCTTCCTAGTACTAAGCTATCCTCCACAGACTCAGGCTACAGGCCTGCCACAGTGCCAGGCCAGCCCCTGTGAACTTCAACTCCAGGCCCACCCCAAAAACCCATGCACCAGGCCCATGCACATAACTCAAGCCACAGGCCCTCCTCTACCAACCCAGGTACCAACCCATACTTCCTGAGGACTTCAGTAGCAAGCCTGCCTGCAGACCCAATAGCTGGCTCACCCAGATTCTCTGAAAAGCTGACTGTTAAAGGGCTTTCCCTGCTGGAGCCAGTCTACAAAGGCTGGAAGAGATGCCCACATCTTCAAATATGCCAAGGCCATGAGGATCACAAATAACCAGAGAAACATACCACCACCAAAAGAATAAAATAAAACAACAATAACTTACCCTTATGAAGTGGCTATCTATGAACTCCCTGGTAAACAACTCAAAATAATTGTTTTATAGAATCTCAGTGAGCTACAAGAGAACACAGACTGATAACTAAATGGAATCAGGAAAACAACACATGAACAAAATGTGAAGTTCAACAAAGAGAAACCATAAAACAGAACTGAACAGAAATTCTGGAGCTAAAGAACATAATGGCTGAACTGAAAAATTTAATAGGGAGCTTGAACAGCAGACTTAATCAAACAGAAGAACCAGTAAGCTTGAATTTATGTCATTTGAAATGACCCAGTCAGAGGAAAAGAGTAAAGAAAGCCTGCAAGACTTATGAGATATCAAGCAAATCAATATATATATTACAAGAGTCCCAGAAAAAGGGAAGAAGCTTATTTAAAAAAAAACGAAACTTCCCAAATCTGGAGAAGAAAATATCCAGATCCATGAAGCTCAAAGAACTCCAGATTGATTAAACATAAAGAGATCTTCACTGAGACATATTATAATCAAGTTGACAAGAAAAGAATTTTGAAGCAGCAAAAGAAAAGCAACTGACCATATACAAGGCAACCCCCATAAGGCCAAACCTGGCCCACCAGGAGACAGTGGGATGATGTATTCGAAGTGCTGAAAGAAAAAAAAAACCTGCTATTCAAGAATACTACACATGACAGACAAACAAGCTAAGGAAGTTCACCACCACTACACCTGCTTTATAAGAAACACTAAGGGGAGTTCTTCAAGTTAAAATGAAAAGACATTAAGTAACAACATAAAAACATGAAAGTATAAAACTCACTATAAAGATAAGAATATAGTCATATTCAAAATAATACTGTAATGGTAAATCTCTTCTAATTTTGACAAAAATTAAGACAAAAATATTAAAAAACAATCATAGCACAATAATTTGTTAATGGCTATACAATATAAAAATATATGAATCATGACAGCAATAACATAAAATGTGAAGAAGGAAGAAGTTAAAGTGTAGAGTTTCTTACATAGTTGAAATTAAGTTATTATCATCTTAAAATAAACTTTTATAACAATGTTTTATGTAAGCCTAATGGTAACCACAAAAAAGAAAACCTGTATTAAATACACAAAACATAAAGAAATCAAATCAAATACCATCACAATAAAAAATCAAATCACAAAGGAAGAGAGGAAGAAAGGAATAAAGTTACTATAAAATAGTCCAAAAACAATTAACAATTAACAAGATGACAATAGCAAGTCTTTACCTACCAATAATTACTTTAAATGTAAATAGATTAAATTCCTCACTCAAAAGACATAGAGTAGATGAATAGATAACAATAGAAAACAAATGTATTAGGGTTCTCTAGAGAGACAGAATTAATGGAATATATATATATATACACACACACATATATATACATATACACTAAACTCATATATATAATAAACTTACATGTGTGTATATATATGAGTCTATTATATATATATGAGTTTATTAAGTATTAATTCACATGATCACAAGGTCTCACAATAGGCCATCTGCAGGCTGAGGAGCAAGGAGAGCCAGTCCAAGTTCCAAAACTGAAAAACTTGGAGTCCCATGTTCAAGAGCAGGAAGCATCCAGCCCAGGAGAAAGATGTAGACTGAGAGGGTAAGCCAGTCTTTCTTTTCACATTTTTCTGCTTGCTTATATTCTAGCCAGGCTGGCAGCTGAATAGATTGCAGCCCACCCAGATAAAGGGTGGGCCTCCCTTTCCTAGCCCACTGACTCAAATGTTAATCTCCTTAGGCAACACCCTCACAGACACACCCAGGATCAATACTTTGCATCATTCAATCCAATCAAGTTGACACTCAGTATTAACTATCACTACAAGATACAACTATAGGCTTGCTGCCTAAAAGAGACTTAATTTAAGAACATACATAGATTGAAAGTAAAGAGATGGAAAAAGATAGTCCATGCAAATGGTAACAAAAAGAGAGCAAAAGTGACTATATGTGTATCAGACAAAATAGAATTTAAGTCAAAAACTGTCACAAAGAAGGCAATCCTATAATAATAAAAGGGTCAACTGAGCAAAAGGATATAACAATGGTAAATATATATGCACCCAAAATAGAAGCATCTAATATATAAAACAAATATTAACAGAATTGAAGGGAGAAACAGACAGCAATACAACAATAATAGGGAACGTCAATGTCCTACTCTTTGCAATGAATACATCATCCAGATAGAAAAATCAATAAAGAAAACATTGAACTTGAACTACACTACAGACCAAATAAACCTTACAGACATATACAAAAATTCAATTCAACAGCAGCACAATACACATTCTTTCCAAGTGCACATAAAATATTATCTAGAATGGATCATATATTAGGCTACAAACAAGTCTTAACAAATTTAAGAAGACTGAAATCATATTGAATATTTTTTCTGAAAGCAATAGAATAAAACTAGAAATCAATAACAGGAAGTCTTGGAAAAGTCCCAACCATGTAGAAATTAAACAACATGCTCCCCAACAACCAATGGGTCAAAGAAATCAAAAGCAAAAATTAAAAATATCTTGAGTAAACAAAAATGGAAACACAACGTACCAAAACTTATGGGATGCAACAACGGTAGTCCTCAGAGAGGAGTTTATAGCAATAAATGCCTACATCACAATAAAAGAAAGAGCTCAAATAAACAACCTAATGTTGCATCCCCAGAGAAATAGGAGAACAACAAAGTAAGCCCAAACTTAGCCAAATAAAAAGGAATAACAAAGATCAGAGCATAAATAAAATAGGGATTAGAAAATAATACAAAAAGAAAACAAAATTACAAGTTAGTTTTTTGAAAAAGTAAACAAAATGAACAAACCTTTAGCTAGACTAACAAAGAAAGAAATAGAGAAGAGTCAAATAAACAAAATCAGAAATGAAAAATGAGACTCATAATCAATACCAGAGAAATATAATTGTAAGAGACTAATATGGACAATTATACATCAAAAATTGAAAAACCCAGAAGAAACAAATTCTTAGAAACATATAATCTACTAAAATTAATACAGAAATAGAAAATCTGAACAAATAACAGATTATGAGATTGAATCAGTAATAAAAGTCTACCATCAAAGAAAAGCCCAACACCTGATGGCTGCATTGCTAGATTCTACCAAATATTTAAAGAACTAATACCAATTATTCTCAAACTCTCATAAAAACTTAAAAAGGAGGAATATTTCCAAACTCATTTTATAAGGTCAGCATTACCCTGATACCAAAGACAGACAAAGATACAAGAAGAGAAAATTACAGGCCAATATTCCTGATGAACATAGATGCAAAAACCCTCAATAAAATACTAGGAAATGAAACTCAACAGAACACTAAAAGGATCATTCAACATAAGCAAGTAGGATTTATCCTTGGGATGCAGAAGTACTTCAATATACATAAATCAATAAATGTCATACACCTTATTAACAAAATAAAAAACAAAAATTACAAAATCATCTTAGATGCAGAAAAAGCATCTAATAAAATTCAACATCCATTCATGATAAAAACTCTCAACAAAATAGGTATAGAAGAAATGTACCTCAACATAATAAAGGACATATATGACACGCCCACAGCTAATATACTCAATGTGAAAAGCTAGAAACTTTTCCTCTAAAATTAAGAACAAGACAAGGATAACCACTCCCACCACTTCTAATCAATGAAGCACTGAAAGTCTTAGCCAGAACAATTAAGCAAGAAAAAGAAATAAATTGTATCCAAATAAAAGGAGTGAAGTTATCTGTTTGCTGATAATATGATCTTATATATTTTTAAAAACCTAAAGACTTCAATAAAAAATTGTTAGAACTAAGAAACAAATTCAGTAAGGCTTCAGTTTACAAAATCAAAAACAAAAATCAGTAGCATTTCTATACCTAACAATGAACTATTCAAAAAAAAGAAATCAAGAGAACAATTCCATTTATAATATTTTTTTCTTAACATCTCCTCCTTGAAATTAGTAATATTTTAAAAAACAGAAATAAATTTAACCAAAGATGTGAAAGATCTAACACTGAAAACTATAAAACATTGATAAAAAGAAACTGAAGATTATACAAACAAATGGAAAGCTATCCCATGATTATAGATGGGAAGAATTAATATTGTAAATCTGTCAATACTACATGTCAGTACTACCCAAAGCAATCTACAGATTCAATGCAATCTCTACCAAAATTCCAAAGACAGACCATGTGTGTTAGCTTACACCTGTAATCCCAGCACTTTGGGAGGCCAAGATGGAAGGGTCACTTGAGGCCAGCAATTTAAGGCCAACCTGGGAAATATAATGAAATACATCACACACACACACACAAAAAGTAAGAATTAGCTGGGCTTGGTGGCATGCACCTATACTATACTCCCAGCTACTTAGAAGACTGAGGTGGGAGGATGACTTGAGCCCCAGAGGTCAAGGCTCCAGTGAACTATGATTGCACTCCAGCCTGGGCGACAGAGTGAGAACCTGTCTCAAAACAAAAATCCAATGGCATTTTTCACAGAAATGGAAAATATAATTCTAAAATTCATATGGACCCACAAAATAGCCAAAGCAATCTTGAGCAAGAAGAACAAAGTTAAAGTCATCACTCTACCTGATTTCAAAATATACTAGTAATCAAAAACTAGTAATCAAAGTTACAGTAATCAAAACAACATGATACTGGCATTAAAAATGACATATAAACCAATGGAACAGAATAGAGAACCTAGAAATAAATCAGCACACTTATGGCCAATTGATCTTAGACAAAGGCGTCAGAAGTACACAATGGGGAAAGAATAGTCTCTTTAATATATGATGCTGGGAAAACTGGATATCCACATGAAGAAAAATGAAAGTAGACCCTTATCTCACACGATATCTTTTAAATCCACTTAAAATGAGTTAAATAGTTAAACATAATACCTGAGACATAGAGTGAAGTGACAACCTACAGAATGGGAGAAAATATTTGCAAACCATACATCTGATAATAGGCTAATATGCAAAATATATAAGAAACTCCTACAACTCAGCAGCAAAACAAAATAAATAAGTAAATAATCTGAATTAAAAATAAGCAGAGAACCCAAATAGACATTTTTCTAAAGAATACCTACAAATGTCCAACAGATATACAAAGAAATGTTCAACATCACTAATCATTGGGGAAACTAAAACCACGATCAGATATTACCTCCCACCTGTTAAAATGTCTATTATCAAGAAGATGAAAGATAACAAATGTTGGCAAGGATGTGGTGAAAAGTACGCCCTGCAAACTGCTGGTGGGAATATAAATTCCCACCAGACCCAGCAGTCTGGGTATGTATTCAAAGGAAATGAAATCAAGTTTCTTGAGCAGATGTCTACATTCCCATACTCATTTTAACACTTCACAATAGCTAAGATATGGAAGCAACCTAGGTGTCCATCAATGGATGAATGAATGAAGAAAATGTGGCAAATATACACAATGGGACTTTTTTTGTTTGTTTTTTAACTTTTAATTCCATGACATTATCAATGGGCTATTACTCGACCTTAAAATACAAGGATATTCTGTCATTTGCAACAACATGGATGAAT